TGAAAGATTTATGCTTTAAAAAAAAATTAAATTGAAAGATGTATTGTGTATAGTTTCATTATGTTTAACACAAATTGTATCGTTTAATTTTTCTCATTTCATCAATGTCTTTTTTTTTTTTACTTTAAAAATACCATAAATAAACGAGCTAAAACTATTAAAAGTATTCAACGAGTCCTTTTTTTTATTTATTTCGCCTTTTGTCCTTAAATATAAGAAAGAAAAAGACATTTCTTTTTGCAAAATTGAATGAAAATTTCTTTTTTTATGGTACTATGCTAAGAAAACAATTAAATTGCTTTAAACTCTTTCATTTGATGTATGTTTGTTTATATATATTCTCTCCTCTCCCTTTCTCTTTTATTTTTATTTAACTTAAAATAAATGGAATGAAATGATTATTATAAATAATGTTTAGTAATTTGTTGTTTATCATTAATAATGGAATGAATTTTTTAAATAAAACAAAGCATAAATAAAAATATGTTAAATATACTTAAAATAAAAAAAAAATACAGGACAAAAACTTTCGATAATTATGTATTGATTTTGATAAAACTTTAATCTTATCTTTATATTTTGTACTTATATTTATATTGTACATTAACAAAATGTAATTTTCCTTTTGCCTTAAGAATAAGAATTTCTTCAGTTAAGTGAAAAAAAAAGGGAAAAAATAAAAAATTTTGATAATATATTAAGCCTAAAAATCAATATATAGAAAAAGGACACAAATCAAAATAATTTAAATATGGTAGCAATTATAAGTGAATGAATGGTGGTGTTATGCAATAATAGCAATTGGAACAAGAAGAATTCATACTTCCTATGAAAAATTCAATAGAACATATTCAATTTCACAGATTCTTATTATTTCCAAGTAATTTGTGCTTCAAAAAAGAAAAAAAAAGGAGGAAAGAAAAAATGAACGAAAAGAAATAAGGAAAATGAAATAAAATGATGAATAATAATAACTAAATTGTGTAGAATAACTAAAAGAATTTTTATTTTTGTTCTAAACTTTTGCTACAATTTTATTATACATTCATTCTTTTTAAATATATATAAGTATCGAATAAATGTATCGTTTTAAAAAATTTTAAAGTTTTTTCGTTTTTTATCTATTTATTTTTTTAATAATAATAGTGTGATAGGTGTTAAATTATGCTAATTAGAAGCATTCTAAAAATGATAGTAATAAAGAAGAAAAATTTCTTAATTTATTAATGATTCATTTTCATAAATTTTATTATCAGGAAATATAAATATGTATTTGGCTCAGAATTTTTTTGTTTTTTGTAAATGCAACTTATAATTTATCTTTTCAAATAATATTTTAATTATAGAACGAAAATTTCTTACTGTGAGGCATCATAAAAGTAGATAATAAGAGAACCAATAGATAGAACAAATACTAATACGACCAAAATTCTCCCTGTCATACTTTGTCCTGATATTAATTCACCAGCCCAATCTTTTGCTTCTGTCATCCAACCAATTTGCACTTCTTCCTGTTTAATTGCTATACCATCTAAATCACCTTTCAATAATTCCTGTTTTCCTTCATCCTATAATGATTATATGATAAGTTAATTATAATAGCAATAAGAGGAAAAATTGAAAAAAAATTTTTTCTTAACAATTTATGATAAATTTATACTAATATTTTACAGCAAATTAATAATTTCATTTATTTTAAATCAAATTCTAACTTGCTAACATATTTTATACCTAACATTTTCATTTTTCATTAAATTATGCAATCATTAAATGATTGAAAGAAGTCAATAAAATAAAAAAAAAAAAAAAAACAATTAATAACAACATAAATATGCTATTATGAATAAATTTAAGGAAAAAAAGTGAACAAAAAATAAAAAAAGAATGAAAGAAGAAAATTTTTTAAATTTACCTGGTCAAATACAGCATCAATTTCTTCTCGTTCTCGTCGTTGACAAAAAATATGCGCTATAATTCTCCAAATAACAACTAGTAACATTGATACACAAAATGTTACTATGCTAAAAAGTATACAAAGCATATTGTGAAAGAAATATATATTATTATGTGAAACATTACTTCCTTCTTTTTTGAATCATTTATAAGTAATTCAAAAAGAAAAAAAGTTAAGTAAAAATTTTTCACTTTTTTTCGTAACAAATTGATGCATTTAATAAACGTGCAAGAAAAAAAAGAAATTAATGAAGCAAATTTTAGGTATCATTGTTTAATTAAAGCATTAGAATTTTTATGGTAATTTAAATTAAACTAATTACTAACTATTACTGCTGTATAGCTTGCTAAATTACTTGTGCAAAACAAATTTTGCATGCTTTAATGATATACAATTAAGTTTTTTTATTAATTTCTTTTAAAGTACTTTTAAAAAATGTGCAAAAAGTTTTAATAATGATAAGATTTTTTATTATGAAAGTAAAATATACTAAAAGTTAGTATTAGATTAAAATTTAGCAATAAGAAATTTATCATATTCATTATGAATTCATTTTTATGCAAAATAATGAATTCTTAATATATTTATAACACATATTGTTTATAATCATAGAGTTTACAATTTTATTTTCAAAATAAAAAAATAAAAATTTTGGGCTGTAAATACCATAATTTTTTTTAAAAACAATGAAAATAAACTGATTTTTGAATAAACTAACTTTTACCTACTGTACTCATAATGTAAAATATGCTGCCAAATGAACACAAGAAATAATCATAATGATAGATAATTTAATTTGTATCTAATGTTTTCAATGAAGGAATTATGATTAAGAAAAACGAAATCTATTGTGATCGATAGGAAATTAAACAAATTAATGAAGAAAGAAAAAAATAGACAAGTGAGAAATGAATCATTATTTTTGTGAACGACAATGGTGTTCTGCCGATATCATCTTGTTATCATCTTAATTGCTAATGATAGAATTGCTTTATATTTATGGCATTACATACTAAAGTTATTACCTGTAAACATGCATACTACTCTTTATTTTTGCTTGTTTATTTAAAACTGCACATGGAATTTTAAACTTATCAAATTATCTTTTAAAAGAAAGATAAATAAAATCAGAACATTTCATGAAATGTAATAATTTTTCTGAAAAACTTTTATTGGAATAATAATTCAATTTGAATAACACAGTTCTAGCGCTTATCATTCACTCATTTATTGCATAAAATCAAATGCTAAAAATCATATTATCAAAAAGCTGATAAATCATCGTTCCCATAATTCTTTCCAGTTTTCTTTTTTCTCATTGCTTCTATTAAACAAAAAGTCATTAGAATTTCAGATAATCCTAGTTACCAATAAAATTGATGATGACGATAATAAGAGATGATGAAATGACATTCAATAGATAATTCAACTTTCCAAATTTTTCAATCAATTTGCAAATTAATTTTATTGTATAATTGCAAAAATCAAGAAAAAATAGCAGAAAAAGTTGGAAGATAAAAAAATGAAAGTGTAAATAAATGAAATAACCTTGATAGTAGAAAGCACCAATATTTTCGTTCATCAAGGCACTTTCGTTCATCATCAGTCATTTCTTGAAAGGCACGAGACATATTACAATGCATTGGATAACCATAAGGAGCTGGCGGGAATCCTTTCGATCCACCAGATCCAGGATGGTATACATCGCTCATCCTTCGATGTATTTATCATTATTTGTCAATAATAATAATAATCAAAAAAGCAACACTGTAAACAAATAAACAAGATACAGGGCTTATATATACATATACTTGTGAATAAAAATACTGCTTGCCTCCTAAGTGCCGTTAGTAGCAGTCCTTATAGCTTTGAAGTTTAGGCAAAAGAAAGCTAAGCAAGCTTACACTTTATCAGTCTGTGCATACTAGCTTTGTCTATCTATCCTTCAAACTACCCATTACATCTAACAAAGCTACTACCATCATCCGAATCAATTGCTATTCCGCCTTCTATTCCATTCAATATAACTTCTCAATCAATATAGCCAAGCTAGGCTTTTCCGATCCTCAAAACCATCCATTCATCATCATAATCCTCTTGTTTTTCGTTTTTAAGTCACATTTATTGTTTGCATACATCATCCCTTTATTCTCATATTTGTGCTTACTATATTTATTATATAAATGTGTCCATTACTGTAAACTAGAAATTATCTGGTAACTACTACTGTCTGTTAGCAACAATAATGTCATTAAATGTTTCATAGATATGTTTATCAAAAATATTTTTAAATCATCTTGACTTTAGAATGGTAGTCATTGAAGCTCGATTAATTAAATTGGAATATAAGTGTTGAATTATCCAAGTAATATACTATTATTAGTCATGCTCATTTATTCATTCAACTGAAAATAATCCCAAGTAAAGCAAAAAATTGAGAACAAAGCAACAGCTATTAATAGCTATTCCAGCTGATATCATCTGGCCTTCCACATATGAATGATTGCTGCCTGAAAATCACATCAACAATTCTTGATACAAATAAAAAGTAATACAAACGCTGCTAATACAATAACAGAACCGCGATTAAAAAAGTAATTCGAGTATGAAATAATGATCAAATAAAGAGGAGAGAGATAAAAGTAGTAGTAAAAATGCTTGAAATAAAACAATTAAAAAGAAAGTGCAAAAAAGAAAAAAGAAAATGCGACACACTGAATATATTTCAATACAATTCAGAAATCAGATTTTCATAAGATCTAAAAAGAACTTTAAATAACACAGTCATAATTTGCAAGAATGGAATTTCGCATACAATTGAGACCTGAGCAATTTTTATGGCTAAAAAAAGTTTGAGGATTGCAAATTCTATGCTCTTTGTACACAAAAATAATTTACAAATGTATTATCAAGATCGACACTCTATGACGACACATATCTGGGTGATTCTAGTAACAGTATATATCGCAACTGCTGCAGACCCGTTTATGATTTCTCGCCTTCATCATTATCCAGTTTTATCAATAGAGAATATTTGCTGCCAAAATTATGCACAGTCAAGACCTTGAATATGTTAAAAAATTGAAAAGAACTTGAAAGATAATTTATTATTAAACACACACACACTGAAGACTAAAATTCAACCAAATCGAAGTTTTTTGTAAGGAACTTGTATCGTTTGCGCTGGTGCTGTTCGCTGCTGTGGATTACGATGACTACCTGCACTTGCACCAATAACAGTTACTGGACGCAAAGGCCGCTCTTGCAACCACCGCACTTGAGTTGCAGGTCCATAACCCTGGAACAAATGTTCCCATCGTTATCCAGTTTTTTTCTTTTTTTTTTTTTGTTGCATATTACGATGACGATGACTTTATGTATCATGTAACTTTATGGATATTCATAAGAAATAAAAAAAAAAACTAAATTAAGGTAGTCTAAACTTCTGTTGCAGTATTAGAAGAAAAAGTTTACCACCTTTTCATTACGTGCTGCAATTCGAAATAAAATTGCTGGCTTTGAAGACTTATCGATATGCGCAGTATGCAGATTGGCTAACGACACAACACAAAACGGATCGGAACCAACATAAACGCGAACGAATGAAAGATGAGTTTCACGACCATGAGTGTTACGAACAGCCAGATATACACTATACTCTGTTACCTTGCCTAAAAAACAACCGTCTACATGTTATTGGTCAAACAACATCACTTTACAGTAGTTAACTTCAAAATGAGCGAATAATGGAATAAATTTGGCAAGAAAGTTCGGAATTACTGTGGGCTAATGCTAATACTTCGAATAAAACTAAACAAAGAAAAATGGAACAAGAAATTTCTTCCCATCCTATTAATAAACATGAAAATTTACCAATAGAGCTCTGAGGTGGATCCCATGTTAGATGTGCACCTTCCGAACTCTTTGTCACCTTAATATTGGAAGGAGCGCCGGGATAACCAGGAAGAGAGTTTTTGAAAGCAGTTACCTGAAATATACGTGTTAAACTAGGAAATTAGCTCCTTAACTTTTAGAAGTTAAAAATACTACAATTTAAAAAAAGGGAATAAATTGAATAAACCCTGAAATCAGAAAAATAACCAAAAATGAAAACAGCAAATCTTACACAACAGTTTACCTCCGACCAATTGCCTCGACCGCAAGCATTTATGCCAGCAACACGGAAGTGGTAAGCAGTTCCAGCTTCAAGTTCAGCTTTTCTCAAATAACTTGCCTGAACTCCAAGCTCATATTCATTCCAGAATGATTTCAAGAATTACGAAAGGAATTACATCCATGCGATGAATGCAAAAAACTTGATGCTTCAAAAATTAACTGAATATAAAATGGAGCTGAGGTTTAAGACACCCAAAATACCTCCATTGAACGATATTTCTCATCATCCATAACTTATGAAACAAAACTACATCACTTTAAAAAAAAAAAAGGATACCCCGAAAGCATCTTCCATGCCTGCAGAACATGGCAAGAAATAGTGTGTTACAAGATGGCTTGTTCCTTTAATGATTCCAACGTTGTACCACTCTGATTCTGCCTTTAACTAAAAATAATATGAAAAAAAAAAGGCTTCTATATATACAGAAACTCATCACCACGTCTGGCCATCAAAAAGACTTAGAAAAAATTGAAATTGAAAACTCAAAAGCTGAAAGTTACCTCTGGAGAAGTACGATGAGATCGACTGGATTGTGTAGTACCGGATTCCACTTTCAGAACTGTAAAAGATGGACATTCTTTCATGGCAGCTGCATTTGGAACCTCAACTGCTCCGTCATCAGTGTTCACAGTTATTCCCACATCAGCAAATATTTCAGTACCTATACCAGATGTTGCTGTTATAGATTGGCTCACACTCGGCGAATCCACTAAATTTGAAGTTTCTATCGACATCGATTTTAAAGGCTCTGATTCTTTAATATCTGGTGAGTGTTCTTCGCTGCTGGTGTTAACTATTTGTAGCTCTTTGTTATCACGTGATGAATCTAAATTGCTGCTTTGTTCCATTTTATCGAGAGGAACATCGTTTTTAGTTTCCTTATCTTCACTAATATCTTCAACTTTCATTTCCTTAATAACGTCCACTTCAACGTTGTCTTTATCCCTACTATCAGTTTCTTCTTCTTTACATTCAATCACTGCTGCAATTCCAGTTTTGTCTGAAACAATTTTGTAAATAATTTTCGCAACAAAACTACACGATTAGTGCAAATTACAAAACCGAACAGCTCTTTTTCTTTTTCTTTTCCTTTTTTTTTTTTTTTTCACAATACTGAAATGAAGTAATGCCGAACTGCTGCACGGAATGCAAAAACAGAACGGAGCAACAAGAAGCATAATTTCAAAGGAAATAGCGATTTATGAAAGCAACCATTACTAGGTTTATTACTGTCAGCACTGCTTGCTGAATTAGCTTCATTTTTATTCTTTACATCCTTTTCCACGGGAGATTTTCGCGGAGTAACGTCAGATGAGAGCATTTTAAGTTGAGTATGAGCAGGAGCTATTGCTATTATACTTGTTTTTGGTCGTATTATTTTAGATGAAGCTACTGCATCTCCAGATTGCGTACATTGAACCTAAACATACACGAAAATATGGAGATAAATTAGTTTGAAAACTAACTTTACTACATTCACAATTAAAGTCGCTTCACATTTCGGAAAATTCCTATAATTATGTCTTCAGAAACTATTCCTAGAGTCGTATTCTGGACCTATTTTCTAATTATTCACTGCAATCTATGCCGAACGACTGATAAGGACGAATTTACTTCAAGACAACAAATCTTTTTTCAGATTTCGACGCACTGTAATGTGAAATGGAATCGTTAATAAACATACGTAAATTCCATACCTTAGTAACTGTCTGCATATGAGCAGTACCCAGTGGTGACATATTCGTTTTCTTTGTATCTTGTGTAATAAATCCAGATGAACGATAGGCACCAGTAGCAGTATCAGATGACTGCTTTACATGTTGTTCAGATGCATCAGCATTTTGAATAATACAGGTCTCACTATCCGGAGCCGTTTCATCCAGAAGATTTTGTGGCAAGCCGACCTGAAATAATCATAAATAAGAAACAAGAAATTAATATAAATCAAGCGTCACTTTCATCCCAATTAGAAAGACCCGATACATTACAGAGAGCAATATGACAACCTGAAGTCGACAAAAAGTCACTTCCTTACAACGTTCTTAATAGGGTGATAAATTTGTTACGAACATCAACATTTGGCATCACTGGAGTGGTATATGTTGTTCCTTGTGTGGAAATCGATGGTGTATGTTCCGTAGCAATTGCCGCCGGTTCTGCACTGCTGTTTCCCGATTGAACAACGTGTGGTGACACAGATTCAACAACCTCCAGTCGCGGACTGTCTCCAGTACTAACATTTGAGGCAGATACAGTGGGACAATTCGCTTGCTGCAGGAATAATAATTTATGTGGTGCGGTACAGCCAGCTCCAGGTGCCTTAGTCACTAGAATCGCTTTTGCAGCTGGATGTTTGACAACAGCCGCCTAAAATTATGGTACATACTAGTTGAAATGCAGAAAAGATGGCGACACTGTGCAGCAGCAATTTTCATCCGAATCGGCAACTGCCTCATGCAACATGCTCAAAAAGGTGATTTCACGTAACACGATCAGGATAAGTCGCTAATACTACTAGTCGTTTTTTCATTTCGAGAAGGTGACATTGTCGTGCTTGCCATTATAGTTGAGACATCATTTCCTAAAGCACCACTAGCACAAAATCAAATTGATCGCGAAAACGTATGAATCGACTTCGACTTGCACATCACGTGCTTCTCAGTATACCATACATAGTTAGTAGTGAGTAAATGAAAAATAATTCATCGAATATATGCAAATAGCATAAGCTTGAAACAGTAAAATGGTTATTCCAAGAAGACCATATTCGAAAGAAATCAGTGTGCAGTACGGTAAAAAAATCCAGAAACTTAATCACTATTGCAGTGTTACGAAAGCACAGGTTGAAATCATTAGCAAGGAAAACGGGAGGATAAGGAAAGTATTTAGCCTAGGCTGTTACGAAAGAAGAATATAAAAACTCGGGAAGTTGACTCAGTCTGATGACTAACCTAACATCTAACTCGTGTATGTGATGTCTCTCTTACTTCCTTGTTGAAGTACCAAAAAAGGAGACGAAACTTCCGATGCCATAAAACGAATAATATGGCTTAATAAAAGTAAAATGAGGCTAAATGCCTCAAATTACAGCAACCAAATAGTAAAAAGAGCAAACTAAGCAAACAAGACTTTCACAGATAAAGAATGACACAAACAAATTTTTTAAGGTGAGAGATGATTATAATTCGTATAAAATAGTCTGAAATGAAACGTGAAAAATAGCACTGAAAGGTGAAAAGTACCACATAAAAGCCTTGAAAACATAAAACTGAAAGATTTATACTAATAAAGATGAAAGAATCCGCGAAGTCGTACATCAATTACAGGAAACCCAAAAGCAAAGAGGGAAAACCCAACGAATTCAAAAAAAAAAACGAAAAAAAAGTCCAATTATATGATGCAATTAAAAACTTATTTTTTTTTTTGAATACCTTTTCTTCGTTTTTCTTTAGAAGTGAGGACATCAAAATCATATGCATGCGGATGCAGAAATGGAACGTAATCAATTTATAACCTTACGGAAAAAAAAAATGGACAATGAACAGAAAGTACAGGGACAAACAGCAAATTCACCTGATTTGAAGTGGTAAGCCTTGGCGTAGGTAAAACGCGGAGAAAATGTCCGCGAGGACCGTGGCCCATAATAGCTGCTGCACCACGAGGTGCACTTCTGACCACTTTCATAACTTGCGGTCCACTAGCCGTACCACTCCGAATTGCGATTACTTTCCCTGCCAACGGTTTCCCTGTTGCAGCCACACGAAGACTGGATGCTGATTTGATAACTAAAAAATTTGCGCTTATCTTAGCAATATGAAATATGAACTTCGAATTCTCTTCGAATTTATTGGAGCTTCGTTTGTCTCTTTTTCACTGCAAAACCTTTAGATTACTTGCAAGAGTTTGATTTTTTTTTTCGTAATGATTTCTTCACTTAACGCGGGATTCAAATCAATTAAACTGACCTACATAAATATACTGAAGTTTAATTTAAAGTGTTATGAATCTTGATATTTTATCGAAATCTATCGTTTGTAAAACTGCACAGTCGAAATAGCATAGCATTATTTTTCTTAAAACTGAACAATAGGGTATCAAAACTTCAGGAAGTGAAATTCAACTGTACTTTGGCCTAATTAAATATAAAACTAACTGTCATCAGGTTTTGTCTCAAATTTACGTAACTGCAAAAAGTATGCTTCAGCTGTAGGTACAGCATTCCAACATACTTCCAAACCCGATACTGTAGCACGAATAAGCTGCACACGTCCAGGTGCATCAGGTTTATCTGTTTCCAGATACCACATATCTTTACAACAAACCTAAAATGATATCTTGCAGCAAATTTCAAAAAAAAGTGATCAGCCACTGCCATGAAGCTGATACTTACAGCGAATCTTCCAAGAGTACATATATGGAATATTTACAAAAATTTATTATAATGAAAGATTTCTTGGGATCTCGAATCTCCGTTATCAATAACGATGATACCTGATTATTCCAAGCTTTACGATAACCATCTCTTCCAGACCAAATATACAAACGTTTATTAATAACAACTGCACTGTGTCCTGCTCGAGCTCTGGGTACCGCGGCTAAATTTATCAATTCCTACATCAATTAGCGCTTCACTGTAACATCATAATGATATTGATTGGCTAAAAAACAACGACTTGGCATTGTCACGTAATTTTATTGCGGAATATAGCTCTGAAATGATTCTAAATATCAGAATCATCACTTATAAATTGTCACTTACATTCAAGAAGTTCTAACGATAGATCCTCCCAGCACATTGTATGTAAGTTCAAGGAAGCGAGTGTGTTTGTGCATTTCCATTCTTTTTCGACCTGCTGTAGTTTCGTATCGGGAGTTAAAAGAGGCACCCACCCGCCGAATACTATCATTCTGAATATAGAATTACAATAATACGATTTAGACAAATATTTTACTAATAAATTCTACGACCCTTTTTTTCCCTCCGATTAGTGGCCGAAGAGAACTGGAGAGTCGGACTCAGATCAAATTACTGTCAACCTTAAATTCCGTTCCTCACTATATTTAATTCAGATTCTAGGAGATATTTGTTCCAAATTTGACAGAAGTACCTTTCAGCAATGATATTAGCAGAATGAAGTGAACGTGGTAGAGGTGGAATACCACCAATTTCAGGCTTCGTCCATGTCATTGAGATAAGATCTAAAAACCACAAATCACCAAGACGACAGCCATTCATACCACCAAAGATTATCATTCTTCGATGTTCACCATTATTTTCCACTATGACTGCAGAATGTGATTCACGTGGAGGCGGAGGAGACCCATATGTCTACAATAAAGGAGATGATAGATTAATGGAGATGACTGTGTAAGACTGCAAAAGTTATCTTGCCATTCTTATATATGCGGATGCTTTCAATCATTCTCTTTCGTTTAAGAAACTGTTCTGCTTTATTGGCATCACTTAAAGTGCTAATTGGTTGACATTTCAAAGTTTCAAAAGTCGTTTAAATGGATCAGGAAAGAATTCAAACTACATAGTGCAGCAAACTTATACAAGTTAATGCAGAAAACATATTATTGTGATAACCTGCAGTTTTTGATATTTGAGATTAAATTTCATTCAATAAACAGGAAACAAAAAATTACTGAATCGGACTTGAAAATTTGCAACTAACATCAGGAAATTCCCACTGCAGATTATTTGCTTTATTGAGGTCCAAAACATACAAATCATTCAAGTAGCGTGGAACATTATTTTTCGGGTCGTCACTAGCATTAGCCAAACCGCCAAATATATAACAAACCTAAAACCGAAAAAAAAAAAACAAAAAACAAAACTACATCTTTTCGCCATATATATAAAACCACAATCACCTATAATTTCCATTCCAATTAAACCCACCTGATTCGAAGCAAGCGTGAAAGAATGACCCAAACGAGCACATGGAGCAGGTTGTCCAGTTTTTGGTGGCCACGGTCGTAAGCGTTTCCATTCCCATTTACTAGCTTGAAGTTCATAAAGGTCTGCGGAATATCTAAAATTAAATTGGTACTCTGAAGCAACTATGAAAAAAAGCTTGATATATTGCAGTTCCACACCTTATTCCACAACGCAAAGAATCTGACTAAAAAACATTTGTTTAGTGAAAACTTAAAACACAAACCTTCCATATTCAACCATACCGCCAAAGAGATAAATTTTAGTACCGTCACAAACAATGCCATAGGCTGCACATCCAGCTGGTACTTCACCTTTGACAGCCGGAACAAACCATTGATTTGTTGCTGTAAATGAAGGAAAAAGAGATTCTTTAGATTCAGTAGTTTCGCACAATTACATCCCCTCAGACACACATCAATCAAACACAAAGGAATGTTATTGATGAAATATAAAGTACAAGGAGAAGTATACACATTATTAAAGACTTATCAAGCTCAATTATAACAGTTTTGTTAGTCGCAAAAAAAAACCAACATATCCATTACCAACATACATAATAACAACGTGAAAGCGGCTTTCAGGAAGTTTTCCAAAGGAAAAGCCAAAAACAACCTGTATTATACACGTGTAGCTCATCGACGATACCTTCATTGCCTCCACCAAAAACTATCATCAGATCTTTAATCGAAACTGCTCGATGACCGTGGCGCGGTCTAGTAAGTGATAGAAATAAAAAAAAAAAAAAGAAAAAATGCTTTATGTGAATAATTATATCAAGTAATAAGAAAAAAACTACACCTGAACCAATCCAAACTTTTCTGATTGTCAAAGTGAGTTCAAACGAAGAAGATTCGTTTCTACCACCTGAATTTCCATAAATATGGGTAGTTGGAAGCTAATTTAATTTTTTTACTCTTTTTTAGTGTGATAATCTATAAACTACAACCTTGATTTCAGTGAAACCTACCGTGGGGTAGGGCCCGTTGTGTTTACTACTTTCTTCCATTTCAGTGTTGGTAGTGCATTACCTAACCTTCCACGTTTTGCTGCATTCATCTCTTTGTTGTACTAAAATTATTTATATATATATATATATATATATATATATAAGAAATACACTCTTGCAAGAGACTTTTAAAGTTACAACTTCCTTTCAAATCTAAACAGCTAAAAATTTTTGTTTTGACCTATACAACTTATAATTTGACTGACTTGTACGCTTTGCTATACAGTATACTCTCCATTTCATCACTAACTTCTTAAACACCTCATCCAAAATAAACAATTTATTATAATCCCGAATTATGCTAATTTTAAGCCTTATTGTATTCAATAGTTTTAGACGATAACCTTACACTACGACAATTTTACTACTGAACATTGTCATAGAAGACTGTGAAATATATGTAGGAAACGTATTACAGCAGGAGAAATGTTTGAATATATATATAAGGAGTAAAGAAAAGCTTGGTAAATGTCAAGCTGTGCTAAATCAAGCTAAAATTGTGTGGGTCGAAACAAAAATGTTCAATTTTAAGCCATCTTTTCTAGACCCTTAAAACCTTGACGCTGAGGAAATGAATAATAATTATGAACAATTCTGTGAGAAAAAAGTAATGTTCTACTTCGGATAATAATGGAAATGGTATTTGATATATCCTGACGAAAGTTATTTCACAAATTAATATTTCTTCCTTTTCTCTTTTTCTCTTATTTTTCCATGCAAATGCTTCTTCAAAGGGATCAATTCCATTACATCCTACTATAAAAATAAAATCTCAAAAATGTTAATGTCATATAATTATGCGTATAAAAATTGACGAAAGTAAAGAAGAAAATAAAAAAAAAAGAAAAAGACAGAAATGAAAATGAAATAAGTGAACATAAAATATACCTGATTAGTGATTTATGACAAAAATTCAGAGATGAAATATGAAATTCAGGTGTAAAGATGAACAGAGTTCGACCACCGATAAATGGAACAGCTCGAAAAAGTGGAGCCAAATAGGCTCCTTATCCGGTTCTCTGATCACGCGTAATTAACACCCGCACGATACGAACTGCAAATTTCCTTGTTACAATCATTTCCGGCTGCTCGTCAAACACATCCTATTTCTTCCATCATTTCTTGTCTGGTTGAGAGGACTGAATACTGTCATCTAATTAGTTTTATCTATTTCATCTTGGAGTCAGGAATGAGAGTAAGATGTGCTGAGACGTGTGATAGCATGAATAGTTCACGGTTCAGGTTTAAATTATCGGTGACAGATGCGATGTTCCGGTCGGTACGATTTATTATAATTTTCTCACCTTATTCGCTATGAGAAGATATGATGAACAGGGAAATAAATTTGAGTGCATCATTTATATGGGAATACTCATATGGTTTCTAGAATTCCAGAAGGCTTATAATGATGGTTAAACTGGTCTATCTGTTATGCTTTGTTAATCAGTTATTATTATAATTTACGGTTGAGTTTCAAACACATTCTCTTGTGAACTGTGGTTCTTTCAGGAAGAAATCAGCATAGTAAATGGCAAAAAACCTCGAAAACACAAGTTATCGGAAGCTGGATGTTGATGCTTTTGATCCAGAAAAATTTGTGGATTGTGAAGATGCGGAAACTCCCGGAATTGGACCAGATGAACGACTTGTTAATCAGTTATTGCAGTCGGCTAAGTTGCAAGAAGCATTAAAAGCGTCATTATCAAACCCCCCATTAAAGTGTAAAAACCAGGTTTACTTAGAATTTTTTTTTCAGTTTTTCTTGATTAACAATTTTATCTGGAGAAAGGGACGAAATGAGGAAAGAAATAAGACAGAGTTAATACCATGAGTTGTTTATGTATGCACTGCAGTTTGTTACATAGTTTAGTTACGTAGTTTTACATAGTTATTACATAGTTTTAGTTAATTCCTGGATTCTGTGAAATCCTTACACTTCAAATCTCCTCTTTGAAAGATTGGAAAGAGAGATGACAATGTACCCTCCATTGGTTTGTCTCAAATTTTCACATGGGATAGCAGGGAAGAACGGTTAAAAAAGTAGCAATCAGTCGGAAATATTGTCAAAAATTAGACTATAGTAGATTTAATAGGTTTTGGTTTCGGAGTTTTTTCTTGTTTGGGGATGTGCCATATCTCAGATATTTCAGTGAATTTATAAATTAATTAACATAAGTGATCGTAGGCGATAAAAGATCGTTCAACCGCTCTAGTAACAAAAGTTTTGATGAATATAAAAACTGCCGATATCGAAAGTGTGGTCAAGAGCTTAACAGATGATGAAGTAAACCTTCTGATGAAGTTCATATATAAGGCGATGGATACTCAGGCTGATAACGCTACTTGTCAGTATCTCTTGTTGTGGCATGCTCAGGTAATTTCAAGTCATTTTATGTGTTAATACATCAAGCTTATTTTAACCGTTTTGTCTTTTTTCGGCAAGCTTCCACTAATATTGCCTCCTTTTAATTAGGTCAAGTTTTAATTGTTTTGAAAATCTTATATTTTGGATGTTTATTGTTAATATATGTAGTCCTTCTTGTGTTTTAAAATTAACTTTTGGAGAATATGTTTTGGTGTTTTTGGTCCCTACATCAAAAAATGATCACTTTAGACACATTTGCTAAACCATATCCAACTTTGAACGCTATGGAGTTGGTTAGTTCTGAATAGTTTTGAAATGCGGCAGTTCAAGTAATATTTTCTGTTTAATACCAAGTAGTAGCTGGAAACTGTTGGCATATATAATGAAATTTTATAATTAATACTAGAAATTAAGAACTCTTCGTGGCTTATTAATATTTCACACTACTTTCATGTTGCATGGAATCGTGATATAAACTTAGCAGTAAACTACTGTTTTAGGTATTAGCTCGTGGTGGGTATGGTGCTATAATTCGTGTATTTTGTGATCGACAGAGGTTGTGATTTTTGCTTTTGATATTATATTTATCTTATCTTAGTTCTAAAACTGAATATTTTGGGGGGTCATTTGCGACTTGGATTGTGGAAAATTGTTCCTCATATTAATAAAATATTAAAACAAAGAAAACCTCATATTAAATTTAAACTAATTCCTGTTGTAATGTACACTTCCTCACTTTACTCAGGCTGGTTTTTCCTTCGCTCATGTTTAAGTTTTATGAGCAAAGTTTTGTATCCTTGTGCAGCTGAAATGTATTCAAAGAGACATTCATAGTTAGTTCCGTTATATGCTATATATGGATGTTATCAGTTGTTATAATGACATTGTACTTCAGCAGTAAAATTCTTTATTTTTTATCAGTAGAAGATCCATCTTGAGGAACTTCTATATAAGTAATTTAACATCTGCAACAGCAGAATGAACAGACTGCAGAAAACAGTTAACGATTGCACAATAAGCTTTTTCCAGAGCAAAAAAACAGTATGGTAATAGTATGCCTAAGTAATTCATTAGAAAAGTACGCATTACAATGAATGAATTGGAGTGAGTATACTGTTAGTACTTCTAAAATGCAGGTTTTTTCACACATCATAATGGAAACAAAGCACCATACTGTTTACAAAGCGCCTTAGTGCAGAATATGCAAATGTCTCATAATTTACCGCGGAGTTCACGTGTGAGTTATATCATTCGTCATTCAAGATGTCAGTTAAGGGTATATGGCTTTACTATAGTCCTCGGAAACAAGCAGCAGGAAGTGCGAAGAAAGCTGAAAACTATTTCTAATAGACAAATGAGTCAAATTTGTTTGGCAGCTGGGTCGATAGACCTATATGTTATGTAGATAAAGTATTGTGGAACATACTCTATGAATGATTAAAAGTCCATGTCATTCAGGTTAAATTAAATGCAATCACCATTACATGGCATGAGGAAGTTGCATTCTGGAACGGAACCCTGACTGACATCTGAAACAACTACCGTATTCATAAACATTGCATACCCGATTTTCCTAGAGAATATTTTCACAGATTTGTGCACTAGAAAAAAGAATTAAACCATATTTTTCCCTGTTTTTAAGGCCAGGGAATAATACGTCCGCATTGGACTGTCATTCTCTCTTTGCGCGCAACTTTACTCAGTGAAAGAGGAAGCAGGTACTCAGTGAAATTCAACAGAATATACACTATAACGGTTAATAGCATGCACACTGAATAATGACTTATGCTGCTACCAATATCCATCCAACTCCCTTCATCCACTAGCCGAAAGAAGAAGACCTGAAATTAATCCCAGTTGACTGTAAGCTGATCTATTTGCAAAACAACCCTGGATAAATAAATTCATGAATCTTCTCAAGGAAATGCATCTCAGTAATACCTATAATATTGCAAATCGATCTTACATGAAAAAGTTCTATAATCTTGGAGCATTAAGATCCATTAAACTATAAAATGGGAGTTAATAGCTTAATTTACGAAAACGATTGATGACATGAAGACAAATTCAAATTAAATCTGCAAAAAATTACCAAAGCCATTGTATCGGAAATGATTAACAGTACCATTGATAACTTTGCTATTAAAATCTTTTTTAATCGAGCAATAACGGAATATGTAAAAGTAACGCCCAAAAGTGGTAACAGTATTTTGAAAATTAGCATAGCTGTCATCGTAAACGGAGAAAATACAGATATGAAGCATCGTAAAAATGATGGATTAAAACTGTTTAATGAGGCGATATTACCCGTACCGAAAAAAGCCGCTTTGATTAGGATAACCAAGATTAAGCCTTGCAGCCATTCACTAAAATTCGTATCGCTAACACCTGAAATGAATACAAAACCAGTGAACTGAGAAAACTTGGAAAGCACTGGAATTTCATTAACAGAGATAAGCCGAGACTTCTTATATTTCAAAGTATTCCAATTGCAACATTTTGTTAAACTGAAGTCCGCACATGACTGACCTGCTAATAGCTTCGTTTCGTTATCTCGTTCTGGTAATGGAATAGTTAGAAATTCATCATCATTCATGTGTCCAAATTCCAAACGTACATATGTGATGAGAAGAATGAATAGAAACAACAGAAATGATGATTCATATGATAAACTTAACAAAGCGT